CGTCCGGCACTGCCCTTGTCGTGCCTGTCGCGATGCTCAGCGCACCCGGAGTGCGGCACCGACCCTGCTGCAGAGCCCAGGATCAGCCCCGGCTCTTCCTCCCTGACCCCCCGATGTGCTCCAGCGGGACAGACGGTGCCTTTTGGGGACGGGGCAGAGTCACCTGTGCTGGCTGAGGGGCCTGGCTGGGACCTTTGTGATGCCAAAGGTTGTCTGTGTGAGGGAGAAACCATTGCAGGTTTTTCCTGCTGGTTTCCCACCCCTCCTGCACGGCACTGTGCCCTGCACCCCTGGGTGCTCCCACCTGTGCCCAGTTCTCCCCTTGCTGGCTGGATCTGGGTGCCAGGGTGGCCATGGGGGTGCTGAGCAGGCTGAGCCCCAGGATTGCTGTGCTCCCACAGGTGTTTCTGTGCAAAGTTTGCCTTTGGTGCAAACAAGAGCAGGCACATGTCCCTGAGGAGTCTTTGCAAAGAACTCGTGTTTGCTCTAAGAGAGGCCTTTGTACTTGGAGAGGGAGTGGGTAGGGGAGCTGGGAGACACTGATTGCAGCCACGCTTGGGGGCTGAACCCCTCTGCTCCCGACCCCAGGGCTGGTTTGCTTTCCATCTATTCCCACATCCCACAGCTCTCTGGGACCGTGGTCTGGGCTTTGCTGCCCACCCATGGAGTGGTGGGTGCTGTGGTCCTGAGTAGTTCACCGTGGCTGGGCACACAGAGCCCAACTCCAGCATGAGACACCCCACAGCTCCTTCCCTGCCCTGTCCCACCTGCCCAGGCTTGCCCAGACCCCACTCAGGCAAATAATCTATCCCAGGAGCACCCAGATCCCATCCATGGGCTGGGGACTGTGAGAAACCACCCACCCTGGGCACCCAGCAGAGCCCCCCCGAGACGCATGGGGAGAAGTGGGTACAGATGATTCTCTGGTGCACAAGGACGTGCTGATCAGGGAGGTAATTTCTGTAGGGAGCTGAGTTTATAATCCATCTCTTTAAATTCTTGGCATATTTCTTCGAGGATGTGGAGTGTATTTACCTGGTTTTGAGGCTGACAAAGGGGTGAGCAGGTCTGGGAGTCCCTCGGGAGAGGGTCAGGCTTTGCCTCCCAACTGTGTACGAAGCTGATGGGGGAACTGGCTTTCCTTGGGCAGCGTTGGGCTGGGCTTCGTTGGGTCTGATTTTGTGCAAGAAAATCCCACCTTTCCATGATTTTGGTGGAGAAGGACTGCAGAGCCAGGGCTATAAACTTATTCAGGGTGAGAAAGCGCTTCTGGGTTGGGTCAGGTTTTATTTTTTTGTTGTTGTATGTAAAGTTCTGGTGAAGTTTAGACAATTAATGTTTGTTTTATTTCATTTTGGTGACAGAATCAAAGCAAAAAGGGCTTGTGTTGACTCAAAAGGTTTTCCTCTCTGGCTTTTTAGGTTAACCAAAAAAAGAAAGGAAAAAAAATAAAGGAGGCCAAACAAACACTCCAACGTTTCATTTTTGGGTCAAGTCCAAACATTTTGTTTAACATGAAACAAAATGTTTGGGTTTGGTTTCAGGTTGTTTAACCCTTTTGAATACGGTCAAGTTGATTTGTAAAGGAAAAATCAGTGCTTGGAAATTAAGAGCTGAATAATTGTTTTGAAAGTGTAAGTGTGAAAGACACTGGAAATGTCAGGGTGAAGCCTTTCTTGAATTAGTGAAATAAAGGGAAATTCAGGGACTTTCTGTGCTAATTCTCAGTTATTTTTCCAGCCAAAACAATGCCAAATTTTGCCTGAATTCCCAAATCCTGCCTGTAGCCTCCGAGTCACTGGTTTGACAATTTCCAAGCGTGCTCTGTTGCACTGGCTCGTGGTTTCACTCTGGGAAAACGCTGCCCTGGGCTTGGGTGTGAACCAAAACCACTCTCAGAAATGATAATGAGCTCTGTTTCATTAACTTATTATTAGTCAGTAATTAGTGGGATCAGTGAGGTGACATGAACTGCTGTGACAAAGGTCCATGCGAGCCCCTCGGCACGGCCCCGCTGGGAGGGAGCTGTGCTGGAAGGACATTTGCTCCACATCCTTCTCGTTGCTTCCCACCTTCTCCTGGGTACCATCACGGTGTGGAGGACTCCCCTGTGCCATTGGGTTCCCCTGGCTGGAGGACACAGGGCTGGGCACAGGGTCAACATCTCCAGGAAGGCTCCGTGGCTCCTTCCCGGGGTGTGACAAAGCCCTGGCTGGCTCTGCCCTGCTCCTTTTGCTGTGGATCCAACCAGCTTTGTTTTCACGCTGCATTCAGGACGAAAAGTAAGAAATCTACTTGTTGGTTGGGTTTTTGTTTTCACTTGACAAGTTGAAGGATCCAAAATAAGTAATGAATTGGAAAGCAGTCGGATGGTTGTTCCAAGTGGCGTTGGGGTGTCGCATTATTCGAGTGCAGGACTGTGACCACGTTTGGGCTCACACCGATTTCTCAGTGCTAAAATGCTTCCTTTTAGTCCAGAATAAACCTGGAGGTCTTGGATACAGCACAGGAGTGTTGGGCTCTTGATAGAGCTAAAGATCGTGGAGAGTAGTTGGATTTTGGGCTGTAATTTTATTTGTTCCGTAAATCGGCATCACCTACCCCAAAGACACCAAAATAATGTGATTTAGGGAAGAGTTTCTTACACCTGGATCCTGCAGGAGCCAAATTCAAGTGTTTAATAATATTCAGGAATGACTTGAAATTATTGGGGATCGGTTTTGGTTTTCTCTTTGGGGACTCACTGAGGTTTGTGTGGCTGGTTTGACCTTCACTTCAGCCTTTTGCATATGGCTGGAGCCACTGCTGTGGGAGTGAGGAAACTGGGTCTCTTTCCAGTGAATATTGAGATTTTTGGATCATTATCCCTGTGGGAATGGGAGGGAGAAGCTGCACAGCAAGCACAGCGGGTGGGATTTGGTGGCTGTGTGGGGGTCCCTGCCAGCCCGTGGCAATCCCAAGGGCACAGGGAACACTGCGGGCACCACACATGGGAACAGAGGCAGGAAAAAGTCCTGAGCACCTCCAAGTGAGGGGTTTCTCTTTCTTCAGAGGGATAACCAGGGTGGGCTTCCCATCACCATAAGTGTGTGTGTATCCCGTTGCGTGTGCCAAGGGAGAAATCACGGTGAACACAGCACGAGCAGGTCACGGACTGTGTTTCTCCTGGAAGGATCTGGAGGTGCTTTACTGGCGTTAACGAGACCTTGATGTGTCCCAGCAGAACACTGGGACCCTCTTTGCTTCTCCCTCCCTGGGTGAACAGTCTGGCTGGCATTCCCAGAGTGGGCATGAGCCCCTTGAGCCCCGTTCCTGGGGTGGGACAGGGATGTTTTGGAGGGCTGGGGCAGAATATGCACCCAAGGGATCTTATGTCCTTCTGAACCAGTTAATAATACTAACAGTACTTTTAATAATGAAAAGACACCTGGTACTTTTCCCCTGCCAGCAGAGATTGATCCTTGTTTTCCCTCCCCGCAGCGAGGACCCGTGGCGGGCGGCGAAGATGATCAAGGGCTACATGCAGCAGCACAACATCCCTCAGAGGGAGGTGGTGGACGTCACTGGCCTCAACCAGTCGCACCTCTCCCAGCACCTCAACAAGGGCACCCCCATGAAGACGCAGAAGAGAGCTGCCCTGTACACGTGGTACGTCCGCAAGCAGCGGGAGATCCTCCGGCGTAAGTACCCGCGGCGGCGCTCGCCCGTCGGGCTGGCAGGGGGAGAGGGCCCTGAGTCCTGGTTCTGCCCCCTGACTCTGCTGTTAGCATCTCCCCAAAACAGATTGTCAAGTAAAATGAGTTCAAGGTGCAGGAAAACTGGGTGATGGCCCCTCTCAGGGACAGGGGCACCGCGTGGGTTCCCCCAAGTCCATCCGCACAGCTGAGTTTCTGGGCATTTGTATTTATTAGAGCTGGGAAAGCAATTAGTGATGGCTCACAATTAGGTGCCTTTGCCACCTCTGTCCCCTTTTCCTTGCTGTTTCTCAGACTCCTCATTTACTGCAACTACTTGCAAAGAAAGTGAAGAGAGAGGAAACAAAACCCCCCTCAAAATTGCTCCTGTCTGTGGCGGGTTTTGGGGCAGGCTGTACTGTTTATGATTTTGAGCAAGCACACAGACTATTCCTTTGTGCACCTCTCTGTCCATCCCCAGTTTTGGGCTGAGCTGCAGTTTGGGGAACTGACACTCCCTAGAAAGGGCTCTGCCTCCCTCCTCCCAAAGGATGCAATATCCAGCAGACTGGAAGTGCAGAAAAGGGTTCAACACCAAATACCATTGCTCTGAAAACACACCTTGAGACTTTAGAGCAAACAGACCCTGCTCCAGCCTTGCCCTGCATTTCCCCCCCGTCACAGGGGGGGGAAGCCATTATAAAAAGAGGGAGAATTCCCCTGCAAAACTGGGAATAATAAAACCCTCCCATTAATCTCCTTTTACTGCCGTGGTGACAAGTGCCGGGGCTGAGGCGGCTGCCGAAGGTCACCTCTGGTGCTGCCGCCCCGGGCACAGAGCTGATGTCCCACTGTGCTGGGATGGGAGTGGGAGAGGGAGCTGGAGGAGAGCTCTGGGTGAGCAGAGTGGGGCACCCTCCTGGGGGGCTTTGGAGTCATCCTGCCCAGCTCCTCACTCTCAAAAATCCCCCAAAACAAGCGCAGGCTGGCAGGGACCCTGCCATGAATATGCATGGGCATAGGCACATGCCTCCCCATTAACCAGGGATGGAAATAGGCTGGTCCTTCCCGGGGTGGGTGGCAGGGAGCACCTGGCTCGTTCCAAAGCATGCTGCGGGCTCGGGGAGCTGCGGGAGGGGGCACGGGGGTCACCTCCGCGCGGGACCTGCGTCTGAGCGGCGGCGACAGGCCAGCTCACGTCTGCTCCTTTCTCTTTCAGAGTTCAACCAGGCAGTCCAGGGTTCTGGAAATATGACAGACAAAGGCAGTCAGGATCAGCTGCTGTTTCTCTTTCCAGAGTTCAATCAGCAGAACCAGGGGGCTGCCCAGCTCGACGACGCCTGCTCCGAAACCCCCAGCAAGAAGATGCGCCGCAATCGGTTCAAGTGGGGGCCAGCCTCCCAGCAAATCTTGTACCAGGCCTATGACCGCCAGAAGAACCCCAGCAAGGAGGAGCGTGAGGCTCTGGTGGAGGAGTGCAACAGGTAACAGCTGCCCCACACCACCTGCTGCTGCCTCACCTGCCTCCCAAAAAACTGCACGTGATGCCAGGCTGGCTCCTTGCATACCACCCTGGCCACCGTCTCCTGGCACAGCTTTGCTGAGCTGCTTGGCCTCTCCTTGCCTTGTTTTCCCTGTCTGGGTGATGTTTGGGGCTGAGTGAGCTCCACACTGGGGCAGGGATGCCATGGGGATGCTACATGGATGTCACAGGGATGCTGTAGGGATTGAATGGGGATGCTACAGGGATGCAATAGGGATGCAACAGAGATGCCACAGGGATGCTGCAGGGATTGAATGGAGATGCTACAGGGATACCACAGGGATGTAACAGGGATGCTGCAGAGATTGAATGGGGATGCTACAGGGATGCCACAGGGATGCAATAGGGATGTTGCAGGGATTGAATGGAGATGCTACAGGGATGCCACGGGGATGCTGCAGCATTACAGCAGCATCTGAGGGAGGGGGGTGGCTTTTACAGCATGGACATAGTTGGAAAGAGCAGCCAGGTTTATAGGAAGGTATTATACACCCTCAAATTCCCCTGTCAGCTTGAGGCCTCTGGCTGGCAGTGCTGTCAGGGACCCCCCAGCAGCAGCCTCACTCCAACGTGTCCCCTTGCACACGCAGGGCCGAGTGTCTGCAGCGAGGAGTGTCCCCCTCCAAGGCACACGGGCTTGGCTCCAACCTGGTGACGGAGGTTCGTGTCTACAACTGGTTTGCCAACCGGCGGAAGGAGGAGGCTTTTCGCCAGAAGTTGGCCATGGATGCCTACAGCTCGGGGCAGCCCCCACACAGCATGAACCTGCTGCTGTCCCACGGCTCCCCCCACCACAACCAGCCCAGCGCCTCCCCTCCCAGCAAAATGCCAGGTAAGCCTCGTCGAGGGTGGTTGGGTGGTGATGATGGAGTGGTCATGGCACAGGTTTCTGTTTCAGCTGGGGATGGGGTGCTGAGTCCATGGGGCTGTGCCTTGAGGAGGGGGAGGATGGTCACCCTGGTCTCTGCTGCAGCCCTGATGAGGGATGGTGATGCTGAGAGGAGCATGTGCTGTCCCTGCAGTGTTATGGCTGGGCAAGCCACGTGGTGAGGGCTGGATTTCTGTCGTGCCAAGGGTAAATTGGTGCTTGCTCAGTTGGTTTAACTCACTGGAGTTCCTGTGTGGGTTCAACTGAGCAGGGGGAGCTGCTTTGTGCCTGGGTACCAATGTTGGGGTCATGGGGTACAGCCCACCAGGGAGCACTGATCTTGGGGGTGCACAGGCAATGCTGCAAAGCTCGTAGGAAGATGTGCAGCATGTCCTGGTTTTGCTGCAGGGCTGGAAATACCCCAGGCTAGATGCATGATGCTGCACTGTCCCTGTGCCAGAGTGGAGGGAGGTGGATGAAGAAAGCTGCTGGGGGGTGCAGGGCTCACCCCAACCTCTGTTTCTTGGCCTGGCCCCGCTCTGCACAGTAAGGAGCTTTCTGGGCAGAACAGACCCACCAAGAACTCCTGGGGGATTTAGGCAGGAGATAACACTGCAGGGAGGGGACTGCCTACCCAGGGAGGCTAATCAGGGCAGAGAGGCATTGTTGGGAGAACAATCCCCATTGTCTCTTACCTGCCCTCAGCAGCCAGCAGGCAGAGGGAGAGGGTGCTCAGTGTTGGGGGTCAGAGCAGGAGCTGCACCTCAACCACCCTGTGTCCCCCTCGGACACGGCACCGGCACGGCCTGGCCAGGGAGGCTGAAACCAGCCACCTCCTGGAAATGACCCTGCCTGGCTCGTTACACACCCCCAGCTCGTTACATAGCAAATCAAAAGGAGCCCGTGCGGCAGAGAGTCCCTGCAGGAAGGGCAAGGTGCCTGCGGAGAGGAGGAGTGGGGCTGCACTCCAGCCCGTGGGCGTTAGCAGCCCCCAGTGGTACCAAGGGATGCTCCAGCTCCAGGCGGGTGGGCAGCATCCCCCAGCTCCCAGCCGACAGCCCCCCCGGGCCCCCAGCCGAGGGAGGCACAGTCAGCATACCCCGGCTCCCAGCCGAGCGAGGGACGGGCAGCATCCCCCAGCTCCCAGCCGA